TAGGTCACTTCTCCCCTCCAGACACTCGTTTTGGCCCTCTGCAGAAGGGTTTTAGAACTCAGGGTATGAACTGCACTGCAGAAACAGCCCAGCAACAGCTTCACTTTCCTGCTGCACCCTGACTTCACTCTGCCTTCCACTCCCTTTAGTGACAGCATCACACTTACCCCCTGAAGTGTGGCACTTCTTCGGGAGGAGGAAAGTGTACGGTCGCTGTTTGTATGTCAGATCAAACAAATAGACCTAAGGAAAGGAAAAAGAGAGAATGAGACCAAAAAAAAAAAAAAAAGAAAAAGGAGAAAAAAAAATCAGCAAAATATAGATGCTCAAGTCACCAAAATAAAACAGGGCCAGATGGGTGTACGGTTTCGTGTTTGTGTTTGCTGTTTCCAATTTTCTGACTGGGAATCTTGTTTATAGATTGGGATGGCAGCAGTACTAGTGGTGTGCTCCATTCCAGCACTGGGTTCAGAAGGAATAATGCTGAGAAACAGCAGCCTGGTCTTATCCCAGAGCTAAGACAGCCCTCCCCATACCTACAGAACTTAAAAGATGGCCTGACCACTGACCAACCTGCTCAGAAAGCTTCAACTCCAGTAAGATACTTTAATTAACACAGTGATCATGAAGGAGCCAAACATTTATTGACAGAAAAGAGGTGGTACACTGAACTGAGAGAAGAATCTCTTCAAGATGAAACCTGAGAAACTGAGAAGGATATATTGAGATTCAAGATTTCTGTAAGATTTCCCGAGAAACTCCAAAGGCAGCCCTGTGAAATTCTATTTTACAGTTGTATTGGGACAGGAATGGACAGCCCAGATCAGCCCTACACTTCACCTTCTCAGCACCTTCTCTTGAAGAGAACGAGAGCATAGGTGAGAAAGACCTGCAGGGGACAACCACAGTGCAACCTGCCCACTAGCAAAGTTCCTGCTTAATCCATGCTGACTAATGCTGTCAGGAGGATTTTCTCATTTCATTGATAGGCTTTACAGAAGATCCATGAATATCACCCAGAGCTTAAAATTAAAGCAATCAATATTCCAGGTGAAGGCCTTTACTTCTCCAAGTCCTTTAGTCACTATGCCCTATTACAGAAGCAGTTTGATGCTTCAAGAATGAGTTATGAAATCTTTTCTAGGTCAGCAAAGGTCAGTTCCAGAACTTGTTTAGTTTTTTTTTCCTCTTCCAGAGAGTGAACTGTGAATTGGAAAACCAGAACAGAATGTGGTTCAAGTTTGATCAGTGACAGCATAACAAATAAATCCCTAATCCCAAGCGCTTAGTCTGAATTAATCAGAAAGCAGTTTAAAATCAATCAGATTACCCACAGAGAAGTTGCTGTACCTGTTTTCAAGAGCACACAACAATGTGCAGTGACTCAACAACTGCATCTGAAGCTTTCTGCCAAACTTCAGCTGTCTCCTTACCTGCTCCCCTCCCATGTTGACCAAGAGCTCAGTGCCATCAGGACTGAAGGTGACGTATGTGGCCACCAGAACCCTCAGCCTGTTGTTGTAGTCTGGAAGCTTCACTGGAAGGTGCCCTGTGGAGAGGAGAAGTTTGTAATTATTGGCTTAACCAGTAAGTGCTGCCTTTGTCCTACCCCAGCTGCTCCCTTTTACAAGGGCAAAGCCATGGAGCACCCATTTCCTGCTGTTTATTGGATCCTTCCATCAGCCACCAAAACACACAGGGGGCTTTTTCACAGCTTCTAAGTATCAATGCCCCATCCCTGGAAGAGTCCCAGGCTCTGAGCAACCACTCTAGTGGAAGATGTCCTTGCCCATAGCAAGAGGTGGAATGAAATGGGCTTTAAAGTCCCTTCCAACCCAAACCATTCAATGATTTTAATTCTGCAAGGCCATCTCCACATGAAGATGAGGATTGTAAATGCCTGCAGAACCCAGCAAATCTCAGTTTTAGGGATTCACCAGGATTTGGCTTCTGCAATTTGTGCCATCTGCAAATACCTCCATCTTCAACCCTCTAATCAGGTTTCCTTAATAAAGCCCTCAGCACAACCAAACCAAAGCTCCTAAATATTCAGCTCACACACAGGTTCTGTTGCTCAGACAGCAGATGTGTTGCATGACCAATTCAGGGGACCTGAGGAATCCTCCAGTGGGACTCATCAGAAGCAGGACTGTCAGAACTGGTCTGCTGAACGTGCTGGTCTGAGATATTGGAAAAAACCCGAACATTTTGGGGAAAAGGATAGTAAATAACAAGCACTGGAGAAGAATGTCATATAGATTGCTCAGACACTGCATCACTGATTCTTCATCTGCAGGATGAGGACAAGTCATTTCTCTCCTGTGCCAAAAAGATTTTGAACAGCAGCTTTGCTGGGACCAGTTCCAGGAAAGCATATAGAGCCCAGGTTATCCAATTCCTGACTTTCCAATAAAAGTGACAAAAAGACATTTATGCTGGACAAGAAGCAGCAAGGCCAGCTCACCACCCCACAGCACTGCCAGATCAGGGAACTGAGCAAGAATCCACAGCACAGAAGTGAAATAAACTGCAATTCCAGGGAATATCCCATGGAACAACTCCTCCAAGCAGTGGTTCCTTGTGTGAGGAGTACAACTCCGCTTCTTCAGGCATTAAAGTCCCACCAGTCTCTCCCAGTGCCTCCCCAGTACAGGTGTCCATACCTGCCACGTAGTACTGCGCCGCGCCGTCCGGGAGGGGCTTCTGTCGGTCACAGAACGTGTGTACTCCAGCTGAAGGGCTCTGCTTCATGCTTTTTCTAGCCAGAACAGCCTTATTATAATCATAGCATTCAACTGCTGGAAGCCTGATCCAAGCTAACACTTTATGTTCACCCACGAGGACAAGGCCCACTCAGCTATGGGTCACCAGCCTCACATCACCCCAGTGTATTCAGAAATCAAAAAGGCTTTGGGTGATAGAAAAAAAAAAAAAGTAAAACTTCACAGATGATGGATCCCTGCAAGTCCCCCTTCCCCCTAGACCTTGACCAGATTTCTGTAGCTCACACGTGCCCAGCGAAGCCAGGTGCTGTTACCTGTGGTTGTGGATCATGCGGATGTCGTAGAGCCGCACGAAGGGCCCGCTGGCCCCCACTGCCAGGTAGTTGTTGTCCTGGGGGTTCACTGTCAGGCATTTGGCCTCCACCAGCTGCCCACAGTACTCAGTCAGGTCTATCAGGACCTCGGAGCGTTTGCTGTTCTCTCGCAGGTCGTACTGTCTGCAAAGGGAGGGAATCAGGCACTCGTGTCATGGAGAGCAGAAGCAGTGACAGAGAATCATGGAACACCCTGAGTTGGGAGGGACCCACAAGGATCATCCAGTCCAACTCCTGGCCCTGCACAGGACACCCCAACAATCCCACCCTGTCCCTGAGAGCGTTGTCCAAATGCTCCTGGAGCTCTGGCAGCCTTGGGGCTGTGCCCACTGCCCTGGGGAGCCTGGGCAGTGCCCAACCAGCCTCTGGGGGAAGAACCTTTTGTTAAGTTTTCCTTGGTGACCAAACTGAAGACCACTCAAAGCAGCACACTGACACTGCTCAGCAGTGACCTACACTTCATTATCCATGATGAGATGACACCAAGGACATGTTAACAACAGTAATTTGTGCCACAGGTTACTGGAAGCATCTCAGTTCAATACACACTAGGCCTCAGTATCAGGATAATCATTAAAACCAGCTCTATAACGTGCACAGATTTATTCAAGTTCCAAATTAAACTCCAAGTCATGACCTCACAAACAGTAGCTCATAGGAAAAGTGAAACAGAGCCTCATAGTAAAAATACTCATTTCAGAGTCTCAATGACTCTGGAGGGAAATGTTATGCAGTCTTATATCTCCCTTGCCTCTGACATGGCTGTTCCTTTCCTGGCCTCCCTCTTCAGGGGAGCAAAATGGAGGAGATGAGGAGGGTATTTATCAGATTTTATGAGATAAATTTTTCCAGTTTTAAGAAAGGGAGAGATGAGCTTAAGCTCTGTAGTACAGAGACAGCCTCCCTCCAGATGCCTGCACAGCACGTACTGCGAGGGATCCTAAAACCAAACCAGCTGGAATTCTGTACCTGATCAACCCGTCTTCTGCTGCACTCCAGAAGGTGTTTGGCCACATGGGAGCCGTGGCAATCCGCTTCACTCTGTTGGTGTGGTCTCCGAACATGTGGACTGTCTCCTTGACAGTCAAGTCATGGACGTGCACCTTGGAATCCGCAGCTCCCGTGATGAGGATCCGATCCCCCGAATGCGGCAAGAACTGCGGGAGAGAGATCTGACCTTCAGGCTGAGGCTGCTCACGTGGACATCACTGGGCAGGAGCAGGAACTGCTTCAGGAACATGGGATAACCCATGTCATTACCTACATTACACACATGTCAGCGTGCACACCCAGGAGTCACCAGCTACAGCAGGACACACACATTTCAGTTTGCCTCTTCGTCACAAATCCCAATTTGCTACAACCATTTCCTTTGAACTCACAGAGAGAATAAGCCTGGGATCTGCATAAACTAAGTGCAGTACTGGATTTAATTCATTTTTTTTGTATCATTAGAAATATTAAATTATTTGGGAGGCAAACTGCTTGCAGGAAAACGTTTCCCAGCAAGGATTTATTCTCTTGCTGCTTAGCTACCAATTTTGTTGGCTGTTCATTCCTTCTAACCACATACCTTGACAGAAAAGATGTTCGCAGTATGTCCTGTGTGCATAGAAAGGAGTTTCTTGTGGTGCAGAGGATCCCAGACAATGGTGTGCTGGTCATCAGAGCCAGAGGCCAACAAGCTGAATGAAAGAGAAGGGAAATATGCACCAAGTATTGTTCTGTTCTAAGCCGTGACCAATTTCACAGAGCGGTTTGACCACAGACATCCATTAAGTTAATTCAGCCCTAAGCGGCCCATTTCCTCTCTCTTTCCTCAGCTCTGTGTTCCCCATGCACTCATCCATTCAGCCAGGTCAAGGAGCTAAACCAGCCAAACAGCAGCTCCATGGAAAATAAAGTGAGTGGTTTTCGTTGGTTCGGCTCATTGAACGGATTCCGATGGCACAGGGGAAAACAGAGGTATTTGGTCAACAACAAAATGCAGGGCCTCCATTTTCCTTATTATCCTGGCTGTGTTAAGTGCTCCCCATCATCCCTGAAGCCAAGCCAAGGCATTTATTCCCAGGCTCTGGATGTGCCCAAGCAGTCCCAGGGCTCATGGAGTGAACCACAAACCGCTTTAAAAGTATAAAGTCACTGCAAGGTGCTGTTGACCTCGCACATCCCTCTGCATCTGAGCCCAAAAGAACTGGACATCTGCAACTCTCAGCTGTTTTAAACTTATTTCCTTGTAGCCAAATCTCTTTCAAGCACATGAAATTTTCTCTGGTAAATCATTCTGAGCAGCAGACCTTGGATGTTCTAAGAGGCGTGTCCAGAAATACACGCTCTTCCTTCCATCCACTCATTTCTCAGGCAGAAAGTCTTTATTCCACTTGGTTAATGGACATGCCCTTTAGTTTCTCTCTAAAATTGCAGAGGGGTAAATTCTCTACCTCCTTCCCTTAGATATTTGTCCCCCTGCAGCAGCTTTTAACAGCATGGTGAAGGGGGTTGGGAAATGTCACCACCAGCTGGGCAAATCCTAAAGATCCATTATAATCCATAATACCACTTAAGAGAAGAGAAGCAGCCTTCAATCTCCACTTCTTAGTCTGACCATTTCCCTTCTGAACTGACTAAAGGGGCACTTCTAATAATATCCAGATATATTTAACAAAATAAAGCTTCTTTTTGAAGCGTGAGCTCTACTACAGCTAAAACTTTGAGCTTGAGCTCCACTTTACTAGAAATGGGAAGCAGCTGCTTGTGATAAGATGACCTACATCCTACTCTTAGGAGAACCTGGGGTTATGGGTTTGTTGCTCCCAAACCAAGCCACATACTTACTCTCCTTTCTCATTCCACTCTAGACAGTTGACACACCCAGAGTGACCCTGAGGGAATTAAAAAAAAAAAAAGGAAGATGGTATTACACAAACTTCAGATTTATCAAGCAGAGTTGTTCTAAGGCAAGGACACAGCGAGCTCCCCACAAATAACAACTTGTTCCAATACAAGCAGGTTTTTTTATGTTTTTATTCCAACCCTGTAAAAAAACCCAAAAAACCAAAAAAACCCACCCACATGGCAAATAAGCACCTCCAGAAAAGAAAGGTACGCTATAGCAGTCGGGGTAAAAAAGGCAAAGTGAAACAAATAATAAAAAAAAAAAAGGTAGTGTTGAATAAAATGGCAGTTTTAGTCTCGGAGGCTACAGCTGAAATCCTGCTGTACGCAGGGAAAGGTGACTTTGCTTCCAAAGCCCTTGGCGAGGCTGACAAATTACGTGTGCAGGTTCTCTGGGAACACAGGGAAAAGGCACTTTTGATAGCTCTGTTAGAAGCACCTTGCTGCTGGGTGACTCCATCATCCATCTTCATCCAAATTAACCAACAGCTGTAGCGAGAAGTGGGGGAGCACTGAAAGCGTTTGATTTGGGAGATGCGACTGAAAAGGGGGGCAAAAGGACCCTTTCCTCCCCCAAACCAAGATAATATTAAGATATTACACAATAAGCTGTGTCAGAGCGCAAAACAACCTGTTCTTTAGGGAACACATTAAGCATTAGAGCTGAGTGTGTTGAAGAGTTGACAACTGGCTCTCCTGCAGGTGCATCGGGTAAGTGCGGAAAGCTCACACAAACTCTCACTGAGCTATCCCTGGCTCTAGCGCAGCTTGGGGGATAAGAAATCAGCATCTACCCCACAAAAGAGAGAATTTCATACCCCTCCTGCAGTGAGGAAGCAGCTGGTTTGCTCTTTGGGCACTGCCCACTCACCTGCAGTTCTGCCTCCAGGCCCAGGCGGCGGATGAAGGGGTCAGTGACGTGGTAGTGCCGCTCGAAGCCCAGCGCTCCCCTCTCCTGCACGGGGCAAACAAGCACCACACTGACTACAGCAAACAAAACATTTCCTATTTCCCCTTTTAAGAGAAGATTTTTAAAAGTTTAAAAATCAGGCAGGTGCTTTGCTGGGCGTTGGGGTGCCCATAGCATGAGGGAGTTGTGCTCTAAGTAAGGAGGCACAGAATCAGAGGATCACTGAATGGTTTGGCATGGAAGGGACCTTAAAGATGATGCAGTTCCACCCTCTTCATGGGCAGGGACACCTTCCACTAGCCCAGGTTGCTCCAAGCCCCGTCCAACCTGGCCTTGAACACTTCCAGGGATGGGACAGCCACAGCTTCTCTGGGCAACCTGTGCCAGGGCCTCCCCACCCTCAAAGGGAAGAATTTCTTCCCAATATCCCATCTAACCCTGGCCTCTTTCAGCTGAGACCATTCCCCCTTGTCCTATCACTCCATGCCTTTTTGACAATTCCCTCTCCAGCCTTCTAAGCCATCATTTGAACATCTTCAGGCATAATTTTTGCCCCTGATTTGGTTTAAAACGATGTTCAGCTCAGCGCCCGGCTCAGCTGGGGAGCCAAGACCAGGCCCCCACTAAGGCAGAGCAAGTTGCCTACTTTGGGCCTGAAACAGAAGACATGGAAGAGCTTGGGAATGCCTGTTATTATCCCCTGGTGATGACTTCAGCAGGAACTCAATCCTGAGGACAGCAGTTCTGGACCAGAGCTGCTCAGGAGAACTCTGCCATTACAGAGCCTGTCCTGAGGCACCAGCACGGGCAAAGTCCCAGGGAATGTGACTGGACAGCTTCCTTTGGGATGGTTATTTCCTCAGCCATGGAGCAGGACCTTGGAGCTGCAGCACCACAGCACAGGCTGTTCTAGAGGAACAGCTGCCACTGAACTGCGTCAGTACAAATGAAGGTGAAGAAAAGCAGGACAGTTGTTTCCCCTGTGATCTCACAGGGCTCACAGATGCATCAGCAGATGGCTTCGATGAAAAAAGGCCAACTGCAGAGGCAGGGATGAAGGCAAGGGAATGCAAGTCACATTTTGGGTGGAACAGCCAAGGAGGTTCCTTCCTAGGACCTCACCCAGCCTTGGTCCCATCCCATACCACGCTCAACTCAAGCCTTTTTAATCAGCATTTAAAGATGGGAACACCAATGTCAAAAATTGTAACTTACTCCTTCACTATCAGCATTTAGGGATGGGAACAACAATGTCAAAATTACACTGATGGGGCTAAAAAAAAAAATCACACTGATGGGGCTCAAAAAAAAAAATCACACTGATGGGGCTCAAAAAAAAAAAAATCACACTGATGGGGCTCAAAAAAAAAAAAATCACACTGATGGGGCTCAAAAAAAAAATCACACTGATGGGGCTCAAAAAAAATCATACTGATGGGGCTCAAAAACAAAAAATCACACTGATGGGGCTCAAAACAAAAATCACACTGATGGGGCTCAAAAAAAAAAAAATCACACTGATGGGGTTTGGAACATGTCAGCAGTCCCAGAGCAGACACAGAACTGCTGAATTCCCTTCCCAGCCCAACGTTCAGTAATGAACTCCACACACTCCAAAAGCTATTTGAAAACAAAATGGAGACAGACATGAAAGCGTTGGAGGGAAAACAAACCAGGCTTTTTGTAGGAGCTTCCATGACAAACTTCAAACCCCCTGATGTATTTTTGTGGAGAGCATTCCTAAGGCCCTGCTGGGCCCAGTGCAAGGTGCTGCAGGTGTAATTCCTGTGCTGCTGCAGCTTCAGTGGCTTTGTGAGGGCTGTGGAGTAGGATTTTCCTTTCCCTACAAGGAATTGTCAGACTTAGCAACCTTTCCAAGGTCACAGATCGAAGTCTGACAGAGCAGACAGCATGAGACAGTCCCAGGCTAAGGCTCTAACCACAGAACCAGCCTCTCCTTGTTAGGGCAGCAAAACAAATCTTTGCACATGGATTAAATTACAAGCTCGTAACACAAAGTTTGGTACCAAACTGCAAAGAGAGCACTTCCAATTCCTTATTCTGGCTACTCACAGACCCCTTTCCTGAATGCTGATTACCAGCAGGGCTGCAAATGATTTCAGGCCTCTGAGTCCAAGCAATAATTGCCTATTGTGTCTGCTGCAGCCAGTCCTTTCACGTTGATATTCCACAAATGCAGCCATCAGATGACTGATCCAACCACTGCAGCAGCTTTTTCCCCTACACAAAGGAAGCAACACACCACTCTCTAAAGAAGAGGAGACAGAGAGAGGCTGTGACAGAGATCATTAGCTCTACTACAGTCAGAAATACCTCTGATGGCAAGATCACACGGGGAGAACACAGAGAGGAGAGAGAGAAGCTGGCTAAGGGGCCTTTGTGGTGCCCAAACACAAGCAGATGTATTTCCCTCAAAAGGAACAGACCTGCTGATGGCAAACTAGCACAGGGAGAGGAACTGTATTCCTGCCATGCCACACTTCACCCCAGCTCCTCATTAAGGACAGTGATAGGTCCTATGTGTTTGTTCTCTTAGGCTTCTCATGGAGCTTATCAACAAGAGACCTTTTCCAAGTAAAGGCACCACCACAAGTATTTCCCAATCCAGCACAAATGCTGATTCTCCACCTCCCTCCACCCAACACGTACCTTGATCTGTCTGTGGATGATGTCTCTGGTAATGTTGGCTTTTGCCATCTTCTTGTAATGGGGCAGACGAAAAGAAGCTATGGGAAGAGCTGCTGTGCATCCAAGCATTCCAACCGAGCCAAGATCCACGCTGGGGGCATTCAGTTACCTGCAGGACAGCACAGGGAGGGGACACAGGCAGGCACACACCATATTAGGCCATTCAGACAATGTCAAGCTTTATTTTCCAAACACAGCAGTGGGTAAGAACTGAAAAGTTGGGTATAGAGGCTCCTGAAAAAACTCCAGGAAGGAACAAAGCCCGACTTGAGGCCATCCCCAGTCTGTGGAGGAATTCACAATGAGCAGAATTCCAGGACTAAACAAGTCTAGAAAATCCATGTTTCTATGCCAGCAAAGACCCTGGGCAGCATCCTGTCCCACAGTTTCCCCTGTCCCACAGCTTCCCCTCCCACCATTCCATGTCCACTCATGTCCAATGTCACGTTTCCCAAGCTCTACAATCAACAAGACTCATATTGTGAATAAACACAGTATCGATGGTTTTGGCCACCTCTTCTCTCTTTTTTATTACATTTAACTATCAGCAAAACCAAATTAGGACAACCAAAAGGGTACAAACATTCCTAGAAATCACAACAGCCAACCATCAGGTGATGGTTGGTCAACTGAACACCCGATTACCCCAGCAAGAGGTAACCTCAATGACTCTGTGAAACACAGGGAGCCAGGACAGACCCCTCACTACTCCAAGGCCAGATCCACACAAAGCTGCCAGCTGGGCTAAATAAGCCCCATTGCTGGAGACATCCCAGAGGATGGGGTTTCCAGACAGCCCCGTGTGCTGAGCTCTGCAGGGAGAGGGAGCACTGCTGCCTCAAAAAGCAGCTCCAGGTTTGGACACACCACACGTGCAGGATCAATGGTATCTGCCATCCCTCTCCTCCAGCTTCTCCAGACGCCTTTTCCAGCTAGCAAGCCTCCACCTGCTTTTCTCCCGGGCTGGATCCCCATGGATTGGCCTCCTTAAACAAATCCTCCAGGATACAGCAAGTTTCTCCATCCAGAGCTGCAACAGGGCAGAGACCATCGTTCTGTGACACCTCAGCAATTCACCCCTCAGGTGAGGGGCTGCTGCTCACTGGACAAAACCCAAGATCTTCTTACCTCTAAGATTTATATCCCAGTGCTCCACTCCTTCTCCTCCTCACAGGGAATTTTAACCACACCAGCCACCCACCCTCACCCAGCCCTTCTCCACAGGAACCTGTGACCAGTCACTGATGGCAGCTAAACAACTTTTTCCATGGAAACAAATGATCCATTATCCTCAAGAGACAGGAGGGACAATATTCCAGCAGATTTCAGGGCCTCAGTCTTGTCTGCAGCTTTCCACTCTTCCAAGTGCTTCCCTACAACATTCCCAGATTCTGTCTACAGTCTCCTCTCTCCAAGCAGCACCCAGGTTTTTCCTCTTCTTCCCTGACAGGCAGATTTCTTGTCTCCCTCTTTGAGAGCAGTTTAATTTTGAGCTTAGGACCCCAAAAGGACCCACACCATGCCAGGGCCAGGCAGGCTCTCACCTCCCAAAGGACAAAAAACCCCACTGCTCTCTTAAGAGCCCTACAAAAAAACCTGTCACATTTTCTGTGTCCAATTATGGCTAATTTCCAATCAGCTCCTTTTCATTCAAACAGCACCAAACAACCTCAAGGACACACGTGGAAAAATGCACGTCCACGGAAAGATCCAGATCTCCCCTATACAGACTGAAATAACCCACCCCAAGAAGCCAGTTTAGAGCTAAATAAATCAATGCAAAACCATTAATACACTATAAATCCACTGTATGAACGGAGAGAAGGAAGATTCAAACCCCCCAAAACCTGCCAGCCCATATAAGAGAGACTCAAATTGCCTTGATTTTCAACAGTCTCCTTTGTCCCAGCATTTTCTCCCTTCTGGAACTCTGACACCCACACTGGCCAGGGGACACAATACACAGGAGTTGGCTATTTCTAGGAGTGTTTTTAGGATTAAAGATGTGTTGTGGAGCTTCCCAACTCTCTGGACAGGTCACTGTCACTCAGAGGTGTCCCCAGCAGAACGTTGTTCCTCAGGTCTCAGGAGATCAACACAGCTTTATTCCTTAAAAGATACAGGTCAGGAAAATTATCAGTGAAATCAGCCCTTTGGGTGACAGGCTGAGGAAAAAACCCACAGTCAAACAGGAATGCAGGAGCCTGAGGTGTCTCTCTTTCCTAGAAAGGGCTTGGTTTGGCAACTGGGTGTTGTAAAATGCTCAAAGGTCTCCCAGAACACGTGTCTATGCTTGGCCAAGAAGACTCCAAGAGCCTCTCTTGCTTTCATATTGCTATTTTTTTTTTGTTGCTCAACAGGTATTCCACAGCTACAAAGGCTTAGGCAACCTTTAAATTATCGTAGGATCACAGATAAAGAATTAAAAAGTCCCAAATTCTGATTCTGGGTCAGATTTTAAGCATTAGCCACAACTGGTCACAATCCCAGACTCACATTCACCATGAATATAACAGTTACCTCATTCTTGACTATTAACTAACTAAATACATAATAACTTAATTAAACAAATATTAAGTGCTGTTAACACTAAAGACTATTGACCCCACCACTGTACAGGCAAATCCTCTCTCCAGTTACAAACTGACCCTGGAATAAAACACAGAATTCCCCAAGATTTGTAGGCCCCCTGAAAAATATATATAATAAATAATTAGACAAAAATAAACCCTGTCTCCCAATTTCTTAGCCACATAAAGGCTTCCAAACACGAAGCCCCTTCAGAGAGTCTTTGTCACCACCAAAGGCATGGAAATCAGTAAAGGATGTTCCTCTTCTGGCAAAGCCACTGTGCAAATTCTGTTCTATCCCATCCTTGCACTCCTCTGGCTTTTCACTAACCCTGCACAACCAGATCGTGGTGGAATGAGAGGATTAAGTCCCAGAGACAAGGACAGTGTAGGATGAGTCTGCACTAGTGCTACCAGGGATGACTCCACAAGCAGCTTCACTTTGGCTACACATTAGAGATGATCCCATCCCTTCCCATCCCTGGAAGTGCCCAAGGCCAGGCTGGACAGGGCTTGGAGCTGGACAGTGGAAGGTGTCCCTGCCATTGGAACAGGATGATCTTTAAGGTCCCTTCCAACTCAAACCATTCCATGATCCTGTGATTGTGACCTTGTTGGGTCATTTATTAGATGGCACTGGAGCGAGTTTCTCCATCCCACTTCAATTCCAAGCAAGGACAACCTTCCCTCATCCCTCAGTGCTCCAAACCTGCCCCGGGGACGCCGCAGACAGGACTAAAAACTTGGGATCTAGTTACAGCTGTCGCCTCATCCATGGCAACAGCCTCTTCTTAAACTCCACCTGGAGCACAGAGAGCACCAGCCCACCTGCAGTTCCCTCCTGGACTCTCCTGCTCCTGCAACACTAAAACTCCAAAGGCACAAAAAGCACTTTCGCAACACTTGGCCTTTAAATTCGCAGTCAAAAATTAACAAGCCACAGATTTCTGCAGGCTGTGGGCTCCAAACCTGGCAGGCTGTGTTTACACTGACAGCAGTTTAAAAGCCCCTTAAGCTCCTGGGAAAGTACAACTTCCAGAGGGTGCTCCAGGGCATGGGGAGGAAGGGGAGTAACGGGATTCCAATTTTCCCAAAACACTCGCTCAAAGTCTGGAAACAAAACCTTGACAGTGATAACACAAATAATTCCATTGATTTAATACCAAGTTATCCCAACGCAGGTCGGATTTGGGGAACTGCCCCTTTGCTGGATTGTATTTCCCTGTCATGGAAGCACCTGAACAGCCCCCACCTCCCTCATCCCCACAGCGACATCCTGACACAGACCTGCCCTGCAGAGGAGGGGGTCAGAGCCCCAGCCTGGGCACCAGCACCCTTTGGAAAAGCTCCATCCACCCCAAGAAACTCCACAAATCAGCAGGACCCCTGAAATCAGCAGCTTTACACAAGCAATCCAATTCCTAACTGTGTGGATGTGCCCAAGTTTCTCAAGGTCACTGGGAATAAGCAGCACTCTGCACACCACGAGCCCTGCAGATACACGGCTCATCCCCAAGGAACATGCCCAAGACCCTTCCCTTCAGCATCTACAAATTATTTCACCCATCCAAACACCAGTCAGGACACAACTCATGCAGCTTCTTTATCCTCACAACTTATTTCCCTGCCCTCTTTACCTTGACTTCCCAAGAGGTCACGGATCAAATTAAAATACATGGAGATAGGTACATTTATGTGTTTGGGGTTTTTTTTAAGAAACCTGGAAAACCAAGAGGGAATGAGCTGGTTAGCAGCAAACACCTTGCTAAAAGAAGGTTTTGCTCCAGCTGAAGGAGTTGCCAGGAGGTCCCCAGGACAGATGGACATGGAACATGGAGAGAGTGAGGAGAAGTGGGATCTGAGCCCTGACAGACTCAGCACAAGGGGACTGTCAGGGAAACTCGGATAGCCCAGAGCTTCCAGCTCAGCCCTCCAACTGGAATCCTACCTCTCCCCTTCATCCCCCAGCTCATACATCCACTGGGATAACAGAAAGATGCCAGACAACACCTCACCCAGCACAACCAACATCCCAGTGCCCAGCCCCACACGGCCCAGTAGCTCCAGGAAGGAGTTCAGCTGGCAGAGGAGGAAAGGCTGATCCCCCTTCCAGGGAAAGGGGCTGCAGGACCCCCACCAGGGGCAGGGAAAGGTTCTGTGAAGGGTTTAGAGAGGGGATGGTGAGCAGAGGAGGGAGCAGGGCAGGGTCACAGTTAGGAAAGGGGAGAGGAAGGTGAGGACAGGGCAGTGCCAGGTGTAGGAGGGGGAAAGGGAAGCCAAAAAGCAGGGGCTGCACCTGGCAGGGGCTGGGTACCTGCCAGAGGATGCAGGAATGGGGGGGAGAGGGCAGGAAGAGAGTCTGGGGAAAACGGGGATGAGGGTCTGGGGAAAAC